GTAGTATGTCAACATTGAATACATTATTATTTTTATTGAAATTAAAGAACAAAGATGTGCCATAATATTGTTTTACAATTTAATAACATAAGAAGACATGATACCCATTACCCACGTGTATTGTTTTTATTATATTTTAATTTTTAAGCGAGTTATGAGTACTTTAAAATTCGAACATTAAATGTGTATAAAAAAAATGTCCTTTGTAATTTTAATATTTTTCAACTGCTATTCTAACAATATATCAGGAGCCTTGTATTAAGTTTTCATGCTTTTTGACGTAGAAAATATTCACGAGCATCCACATCCGTCAAAATTAAAACTTTTACGCAGACGAATACCACCCAGAACTAAAAAGGTGCTGTCAAAGGCAAATCACAAAAGTGATAACTAGGGCGTGGAATTTAATGTAAAAACATTTTTTTTTTTTATTGATTTTGCAGATTTTTTAATTCTGATTGAGAACATTCATGACACCCTAAATAAAATAAAGCAATGGTACCTATTTATTATTAGACTATAGCTCGGATTTCAATGCATTTCCAGTTAATAATTTTTAACTACTGTTATAACCGATTATGGGGCACCTTGTATTAGGTTTTTAAAATGTTTGACCAGAAGAACAATATTTTTTTGACTTTTATATAAAAAGACTAAAAAAAAAAACATTGAATTTAAAATTTTAAATGTTCTTAAATAGCTCCAAAACAACTATTAATATTCGTGTTCATAGCGTATGGAGAATTATAAAATAAATATTTGGTACCACGAGTTATCCATACATCACGTTAACCACATCAACAATTAAGTAGGTACAATTAGCTACTTATTATGTTTATCTAAACAGTAATGGTTATCCATAGATAATAATTGTTATCTTTGTGGTGATTAGTTGTTCTACTTAGGTAGAAGAGTGTAGAAAAGTAAATAAAAACGTCGATCACTATTATTTTGTTGACAATGAGAGTAATTTTATATATTAAAAATTGTTATGGTGGGGTTGAACACCCATTCGCTCCTCCCCCTCCCTTGGTTACGCGCCTGGTTTAAAATAAATTGGTAAGATGGAAAAAAAAAACTATAAAATTTACTGTGCCAGGTACAGTAGAATATTATAGGTACCTAATATATTTTCAATTATTGTAATGAACATTTTTTATTTTTTAAAAGTTTACAATTGGTTATACATAAAAATAAACAATTATTATTATAACATTGTATATCATAATTGTAGACCTGTATTTTATACTTGGTAAAAATCGACAAAATGGAGACCCTATCAAAACTAATACATTATTATATATCATTGTTTACATTAGACGGAGTTTAAGAAAGGGGTACATTTTTAACCAAAATACAGCATTTATTTTATGAACAAGTCAAACTTATATTAACCGATGGCCACAGAAAAAGATTTTATTTTTCACTTTTTTGGTTCTAATCATCATAGCATCTTAGTTCTGTGTGTAAAGGGCGAGTGTTTTAGTGAAAGTTTTGACAATTTTATTTTTTAGCACATATTTTGATATTTTAATGATGGCGTTGTTTAAATTAACAATAAAAAAAGGCAATAAGGATTTCTGCTGTGCAATTTATGATTATTTAACATTTAATACAGAAATTAAAAGTCCAATGAAGTATATAAAACACTTTCAAAAATGTAAATATGTATGAGTTTGGGTACTAGTATAATTTCAATAAAAATAATGGTGACCTATAAAATATCCGAAAATATTTCAGCTGAAAATATATAATCCGAAAATAAATTTACGAAAATTATTTTATCCGAAAAGTACTTTGTTAGAAACGTATTTTATCCGAAAATTATTAAACACGAAAGTAAAATACACGAAATATTTTAACAGAAAATATTATACACGAAAATAAGTAAGCCAAAAATATATTAGTCGAAAATATTTTAACCGAAACGTTTTTATCTGAAAAATATTATAGTGGAAAAATATTTTCCCCGAAACGTTTTTTCGCCGAAAAATATTTCATCCAAACCGTATTTTATCCGAAAATAATCTAGCACTCGATAAGCCATATATAATAGAAGAATGGATAGCGATGGCTAAAATTGTCGGAAAAATTATAAGAGTGGTTGTCCGTGGTATACCGGCGGTTACCCTGTGACCAACTTGAGGTGGTGTTGCATAGCAAGTCGAGGCATATTTTCAATTCGAGTGGAGCATGCCATGGCTGTACGCCTGTACTATGTTTTTTAAAATTGGTGCCAGTGTTATATGCTGGTTATGTTATGGTATATACTTCCTTATCATTTTTTTGACAACTGCCCCCGACCCAATGGATAGGCCATGTTAAATCATACGACGCATAGGTTATTATTATTTTTTATGATTAGATAGGTATGACCGTATGCTTAATACATTAAATTATTTCATTATAACTGTAATTTGTAAAGAATATTTAACACAAATTAATATTAACTATTACAGTATTACACTGTTACAGTATTGTTATACAAATTTTTAAAATGGGTTAATTATAATAAATAAATAAATAAAAACATATATTATTCATCAATGTAACTTTTAACTTTAAATGTAACTTTGTAACATACCTGTAACTTTTATCCATTTACACAACGTTGATATATATAATAACTTGTAACTAGTTATACATTTTAGATTCTGAGTGAAACGAAAAATGTATTAATTTTACAATGATGTGTGCTTTTTTTTTATTTCTTTTTTTATATTTTTTATTTTTATTTTTTTTGTGTCTGTCATCACGTTTTAGGACAGTTAAAGTGCTTGGATTTTCTTCAACAATAGCTTTTCTGATAGGAAAGTGAATCTAGTTGATACTTTGGTGGGTCAAAAGGTTAGTCAAAACAGTAGTTTTCAAAATCGGCGTGAAAAACAAAATAAAAATTAAGGAAAAACAGGAATTTTTACACTAAAATCTGTTTTCGAAAAAATCGATTTTGGTTTTTGGTGCAACTCTTTAACAAATGACCGTATGTCCATGCAATTTTGACTGAATGTTTGTATTAGCATTTCCTATACACGATAACATTTTCAAAATGTTTTGATTTATTTTGAACTGTTTAGGCACTATTTCATTTTCAATTTTTTTTTAGTTTTTTTTCTAAAAATATCAATACAATTTTGTTTGTTGGTAAAAAGCTTGAAAATTTAATAGAAGGCTCCTAGTATGTATATTGTTTTAAAGGCAGCTGAAAAATATTAAAAATCGTTAGTCTCATTTTTTTAAAAGCATTTAAAGTTCAAAAATTGACAAAATATGGAAAAATCACGAAAATTAGCAAATTATTTTGAGTTAAGAATTCGTAAAAATTTTTCTTTTTAAATCTAAGGTTTGAAAATGTACTACAAGATTGCTTATAAGATTATATACCTTTATCAAAAAAAAAAAAAAAATGTCTATAAGAAAGTCGAATTAAATTTTTATGAGCGTTTGAAATTCAAATTTTTACAACATTGGATATTCACTAGATTTCTCATGTAGCGATTTCTCTATTTTGTTGTAATTCAAAAACAAATAACTGTAGATACATGAAAATTTAACTGAATGTTTATATTAGCATTTCCTATACACCATACAATTTTGAAAATATTTGGACTCTTTTTGAGCTGTTTACGGACATTTTCAGCTTTCAATTTTTTTAGTTTTTTTTTCACTAAATATCAATTAAGTTTGATCTGTTGGACCAAATAGTGTAAAAATTTAATACAAGGCTCCTGATATATTGTTACAATATTGGTAATTTTAACAGCCCACAACGCCGCGCTGAAATAAATATAGCTTTTATTGTATTCGGCTTTACTCTAAAAAATTGATAGGTGCACATATTTGTATAATAATATCATATTTTCAATTAAAATGTATTCATACTTCATTTTCGTATTAAAAATCAACTTATTTTTTAGATTCATTCATATGAAAAATATTATATTTCTATAGTTGTCATAAATATCACCATTTTGATCATAAATATAAACACATTGTTTGCAAATATAAACATATGTATACCTTGACAGTCGACGCACATGTTTACCTACTATACCTAATAGCGTTCCATATCGAATGAAATGTGATTACTATGTCACACGGTGCTATAATGTTACGACCGGAGTCTCAATTTTGTTAATTAATATTATGATGGTACCGATAATCAATATACTAAATAGTAAGTACACTGCACAATTTATTCAAAGTTGTATTTGCTTGGAGAAGTCCGAGCATTAGAAGTTTTTATTACTTTTGCTTGGCCATATACACTATTTTGATGTTAATCATTTTTGTTGTATTTATTCATTATTGTAACATGTAAAAGAGAATACTATATTTTAATAAATAGGGAAAATGAAAAAATTAGTTTTTCTCCGAAGTCCGAGTTACCTGTGGTTAACCGGTACATGATGTATACATTTTGTGGCTTATGACTTTTGCTTTTTGTTGCTCATTATCAGGGCTCGGAAGTTGTGGCAAATGCATATTTTTTTTGGTTTGTCCTAGAACACCCAAAGTAAGATACAAATATGTTTCACACTTATCTGATGTCATACATGAAATTTTATTTTGCCATTTTTTGCATATTTATGATTTTTATTGCTATTTTGCCATTTTAAGGTTTTTAGTGCTATTTTTGGGTATATTATCAGATAATTTGGAAAATAACCACATTTAGTTGAAAATAATGATTTTATTTGGTTATATTTTTAAAAATATTCAAATTATTGGAAATAAAGCGAATAATATTTCATGTTTTTACAGTTCTACAATTCATCGACGGTCCGATGTATTAATAGTTCGTGACGTCGTTGTTATTCCCTTATTGTATCATTGCAATAGATTATCAATACAATTAAATACGATTATAGATATGTCTGTATAGTATATACTTTATCCTTTATAGTTTTAATTTTAGTACTCCTGATTCCGCCGTTGTCGAAAGTTGTTGTCGTGAAATAAATCGTAAATCTAAATACGTATTTTAATATCAATTAAAAATGCCTAAAGAAAAAAAAACATTAGTAAATTGCCTTCGTTGTTATGTTGATGAATTTGGTTCCGATATTTTTAAAATTGATTCGAGTATTTTATTTTGTAAAATTTGTGAAACCAAAGTAAATTCTGATAAAAAATATAACGTGTCTCAACATTTAAAAACTGACAAACATCTCAAGGGCATTAATCGATGTAAAGAACAAACACAAAGAAAACAACAACAATTAATGACTGTTAATATCTCTAAAAAAACATCATTTAATAAAGATTTGTGTGAAGCTCTAATTTCCGCAAACATTCCGTTAAATAAACTATCAAACCCAAAATTTAAAACATTTTTAGAAACATATACAAAAAATGAAATTCCCTGTGAGGCCACATTACGCAAAGGATATGTAGACGATATTTACACGGAGACCTTGAATGCTATCAGAGAAAAAATGTCCAATAAAATGATTTGGGTCAGTATTGACGAGACCACTGATATCGACGGTCGTTTTATCGCAAATGTAATTGTTGGTACTCTCGAAGAACATCGTTCAGGTGAAATTTTTTTACTTAATTCTGATGAGTTGGATAAAGCTAACCATTCTACCATATGTAAACTATTTGATAAATCAATGAATACACTATGGCCAGGTGGTATCCACCATGATAACGTGCTTTTGTTTTTATCCGATGCCGCACCTTACATGGTCAAAGCGGGTCAAGTTCTGAAATCGTTTTACTCAAAAATGATTCACGTAACATGTGCAGTTCATGGGCTCCACAGGGTCGCGGAAGAAGTAAGAGGTCAATTTAGTATTGTCGACAAAATCATTTCGAGTGTGAAAAAAATATTTAGAAAAGCACCAAGTCGTTTACTACTATTTAAAACAGAAGCACCAAACATAAGCTTACCCCCAGAACCAATTCTCACCAGCTGGGGAAGTTGGATTAATGCCGCAGTATATTATTGTGAAAATTTCAAGATTATACACCATGTTATTTTTATGTTAGATAAAAACGAAGCAATCAGTATAAGAGATGCACAACATTATATTGTAAAACCTGGTTTAGAAAATAATCTTACGTACATCAAATCAAACTTTGTTAAATTAACTATGGCTATTGATAATTTACAACAGCAAAATATACCATTGTCCTAGTCAATTAAAGTAGTTCAATATATAAAAATAAGCTTTGAAACTTTGAGGGATCAGAATGGGAAAGCTGTGAACAAAAAGTTACATCAAGTTCTTGAAAAAAATCATGGTTTGTCGGCATTAATAAAAATATCTAATATTTTAACGGGTGAAGATACATCTGAAAATCTAGACGGGCTACCTGAAGATCTAAACTGTAATGACTTGGTATTTTATAAGTACGCACCAATAACGTCCGTTGACGTTGAGCGATCATTTTCTACTTACAAGACTATACTATCAAATAACCGCAGGTCTTTCAAATTCGAAAATTTACGAAAACATTTAATAATCCAGTGTAATTCCCAGGGTAAATATATGAATTAATTTAATTATAAGCACACATATCTAAATAATTTAACATGTTTGTTAACAGTTTTAATTCAACTAGTCCAGCCAGTCCCTGAACCGTCAATGAACATAAACTTAAATTAAAATAAATTTTTTGTAATGAATAATAATTAATAAAATAATAACATTTAATTTTTTTTTTTGTAATAAATTTATAATTATAATTTTTTCAAGTTAAATGTTAGGTTATATAAATGTCAAGTTATATTTTTTGATTTTTCGTGCTATTTATAGCGCATATTTTAGAGTTTTTTAGTGCTTATTAAGGAGCTAAAAATTACCATTTTTAGTGCCACAACTTCCGAGCCCTGCTCATTATAATATGGATACTCTATCCAAAAAATCTACACTGAAATTTACTCTTATGTGTATAATATAAATGTGTAAGTACGTAAGAAGTGTGCTTATTATTACAATACTCGTATAGCATAATACACAACAATAGTGAACAATATTACAATCATATTTTTTTTATTGAATGACTATACTTTTATAATATATATATATATATACCAAAGATATTATAATAATAATGTAGTTACAGTATAAAATAATATACATTTATTTTTAAACCAATACCTAATTGAACATGGCATTAAATTGATAATATTATAAAATATATCATAATTATTTTATTGCGTGGCATTGGAGGCTTTAGCTCTCCATTAAAAGTTTAAAACGAAAAACCATTTTTGTCATTGTACCCACATATTTCCTTCCCTGTGGTATTAGGATGACCGAATACAAAGCTACAAAATAACAATAACCTTCAGTGGCGTATAATTAGGCCAGGACCCCTTAGGTATCAAGTTTCATCATAACAGTACTTATTTATCATGACATTAATGAAAAAAATACGGAGAAGTTATTCATATTTTTTAATCAATAACAAAAGCTTGACAATTTAATTTTAAGGTATACAATGTTATTGTGTTAAGTAAATTTATAATTTGTAATATTGTGGAAGAATTATTCTTATTTTTTATTACCTTCCAGCATCAGACTCTTTCTAGCATGACTCCTTAATAACTTATCCGCTTTGTTGTAAAGGACTCGTCAGTCGTCACCATGTCAGGCTCATCAGTTGGATTTCGTCGTTTAAGTGGCCCTAAATCTATGATTGACTTAACACGTTAATAGATATACAAACAACACTTTAACTAACAATCGAACCGTAAAATAGTTATATGCAACAATGCACAAGGTTTTTCGATGATTCAAAATAGAAAAAAAAAATTTAAAAAAAATAATAAATATAATAATATAAATATTAACAAACTTTAATTGACATTAAAATATATTTTGCTCAGTTTTAATTATTCGTATGGATAACCAGGTCAATTATTAACTAACTGTTCTACATCAATAATATTAATAAATAATAATTCTTTTAGGATTTTAAATCGTAAATCACAATGTTTCATTTAATATACTTGCTCGTTTGTGTAGTTCGGTTCGTGTAAAGTACGTAGTTAATTATTTTTTTGCTTGGCTGTGTCTATGGTGTGAGATACCGGAAAAGTAGACCATGGTGTACCTAATATGCCTATCCAGAACGCCGTGCTATCATCATTGTGTTTCTGAAAATTGAAAATGTTTTTGTGATTTTCTTTTAAATGTTTTTTTTTTAATTTATGCTCAGCTAATGTGCACTGTGTGATATTTATGTTTTGCTTTTAGATAATATTAATATCGGCTATACATTATAACATCTTTGGTGTATAATAATACTATAAATGATCAACATAGATTTTACAGACACGACACGTATGTAAACTTACGAGCAGAATACTAAATGGTATTTTTGTGAGCTTTGATATTGGTTTTTTGCCCATTAATCGATCGTAAACGTCTTTTAACTGTTAAAAGTAGGTCAAACGTGTAAGTGGTTACTTGGAATTTACACTTGTCGTCGATACTATCATTGAAATGCGAAAAATTCTCCGACATAATATTATAGCATTTCATTATTATGAAAAGAAATCTAAGACTAAATATTTAATTGATGTTGAGCAGTGTGGCTGGAATTTTCAACCATATCATTCATGTATACCATATCATTCATATATGTGTACGAATGTTACCACCTTCGGTATACGTGTCTCATAAAATGGTCATAATATAGTAGATTATATTATTTTATTTAAATTTGTTCGAACTTCGAACTCTAATTTTAACTCAAAAATATAATATAAAATACTTTCATATCTAATACACTATTATGAACAAGAATTAAAAAAAATATTTTATAGGTGGATAAATTTGTTTAGATGTTTTTTTAATTACCTATGATGATATTTCAGTGTCCACGATGAATAAATGTAAAATATCATAAACATTTTGATCTGCAACAACATTATGATAGTCTATAATAGCCTTAATAGGTATTGAGAATTTATATTTACCCAATATAAGTTCATGTTTTCTATTAAAATACCAAATACATTTTGTATGTTGCTTTAATACCTCAATATAATATTATTTGTGTATTATTAATAACAGTAGTACATATTGGCTGCTTGATTTTAATCTACACTTTGGCTGTTTTTGAATAATTATTAACATTGAAATTGATTTTATATTTAGATCAGTTTTTTTTTTAATGATAATAATATTTTAACTAAATGAACTGTACCTATATAGATCTTGATAAAAAATATCTTAATGAGACGGATACGTGAATATTAAAAATATCAAAAAAATGTATAATGTCAACAGTCTACATAACCGATATTTATATAATTTTTCTTTTTTTATTAGACTTTAATCTAAATAATTGGTACACAAATGTGTATAAAATAATCATATTTTCAATGAAAATATATGCAAATTTCATATTAAAAATTATCACATTTTCAAATAAAAATCATATTAGATGTATCTATATTATGCATTTTTTCAAATATTTACCACTATTTTCATACTAATTTCATATAGAATAATGTTGTAATTTATCATTATCATTATCATCATAAATCGTTTTATAGGCATGCAGTTACATTTTTTTTTCGTCATTCAGGTTCTTTGATAGACTATATTCAATATTACCATGTATGATGATTTCATACGTTATTTGTTGAACTCGAGATACATTTAAGATCATACAATAGGTATATAATTATCATTCATCATATACGGTTCGAAATTCAGAAATCACAACTACTATCATACGAACATGACTATATTTTACCCCGCTAACCACTCCACAATAACCAAAAACATCCGCAAACGTGCACGACTATATTTCACCCTTCACCCCTACACTTGGTTACTTTAGTGTAGGCTAGGTTTATGATAGTAGAATATGACGAACATTCCGTGCTTCATCATGAACTTAAATCATATAATTCAATTTCTTGAAAAAAATAGGTTTTGAATAAACAATAAGCTTTACAACTATTCGAAATAAAATAATTTGTGTATTTCAATTATCCTATAAAGTCCTCATACTGACTTCTGCAGAAATGAGATGACAATTTCTAGTTGGCGATCGAGGCCGATTATTTAGGTTCCCTATGGTATGTTGTGCTATTTTCTTTCTTCTTCGTATATTTTGATCTGCATTCAGTCATTATGTTTTTCAGTTTTTCACCATCAGTACCACTCTACACAATGTGCAATTAATAAAAAATAAATATGATTTTTATATTCGAATATTGTCATGTATTCCGCTCGAGGATAGGAAACTCAATTATTTTGTAATAAAATATTCACGATTTTTAGATGATCGACAAGAAGCGACATGACACGAACCCTCACATTCGCTCAGATCAATCTATCTCATCATATCGACATATTAATATTTTCGAAAATAATTATAGCAAGAACGTGCATGCAAATTAGGTAAAAAAAACTCGCGAGTCATTAGTTTCAAGTACGGAACAAAAATATAGAACAAGATTCACTGATCAAATGTACATCAAACTGTATTCAAAAAATGTAATACATTTGGAATTTTCAAAAGTGTACCATGGTAAAATAATTCGGTAAAAAGTTTATCCGGTTAAATATTGGCGGCCGCCACCCTCATACAGCGGGTAAGTATACCTATACTGCGGTATAATATCATTATATCGCGTGCGCGGTAAGTTCACCTCGTGTAATATTTTGAATTGTTCTCGTCGATATAACAATAATAAATAACACAAGAGCTGGGCCGACCTGTATTGTGGGCGGCGGCTTTTGAAGCTCGCGGTACGCCGGCGTTCCGGGCGTTTCGGGCGGGACCTTTGGCGTGACCACTCGCACCACTCCTCTATCGCGACCTTTCGCCCGTCTCCAGCGCAATCGCTCCACGTCATTGGCTTTTCACTCGATGGTTTTTTTTCCTTCGATTTTTCCACTTTTCCCGACAACCTAACCTTCCGCCGCCGGCGCACTCGTCCCACCGCGGAATCCGACTGAATAGCTCACCACCTGTAATGATACGACATGTTAGTGGTGTATATTTACGCGGGGTTATCAAGGGTATCACCCCCCCACCACCATAAGCTGTATCATATTGATATGCAGAAGTTTTCAGAGTCCTAACTTAAGGGCTATAACTTTAAAGGCGGGCCGGCTACAAATTATATTCCCCCCATGAAAAAAACATAAATATGCCACTGTATTAG